TGGAGGGATGGGTACTCAATCATTGTATAACAAACCCAAGCACAAAAAATTGTAAGTCTACAACTGTACCACATGTTGTTTCACTAATAAAAAAAATAAAAAAATAAAAATGTCACTCTGCATCAGAAACTCCCTCCTTTTGTGTAAAGAGTTTTTGATTTTCAGTTTATTAATTAACATACATTGTTGTTGTTTTTAAATTTGATTTTATTTATTTTTACTTTTTAAAGATTTTTAAAAATTGAATCACTGTGAGGTAGACCCTTACAAAGCCGTTCATGATTGGATTTCTGTTGTCCAGTGTTCCAACACCCATCCTTCGACCAGTGTATATTTACCAGCACCAGTGTCCCCAGGTTCCCTCCCATCACCCCCCACCCCCATGCCTCCCAGCCTGCCTCTATGGCACTTCTCTCTCTCTCTCTCTCTCTCTCTCTCTTTCTCTCTCTCTCTCTCTCTCTCTCTCTCTCTCTCTCTCTCTCTCTCCTTTTGGGCATTGTGGTTTGCAGTACAGATACTGAAAGTTTATCAGGTATATCCCTTTATCTACTTCTAACACTCAACATACATTATTCTATAGGATTTTAGAACTCAGAGGGATTCAGATTTTATTCCTGCGTCATCCAGTGAAAGGGCTCAGTTTTGGAAACACCTGGTCGTTGTTTCTAAATAAAATGGGACCAGTTTCTTCTTGTGAGAGCAGGTCCCAGGATTGTAAGCGAGCGGCTTCTGCGTTTCTCACTGCGAGGAGGTCTGTATAGTGGTAAATATTGTATTTGGATCAAGCGGCTTTGACTTCTTCCTCAAATGCCTTGTGTAATTAGCAACAGAATTGAGGAAAGAGAAAGAGCTGGGAAAGAGAACGGAGGAAATGGTGCTATTGCCCGAGTCTTGGAAAGCAAAGCGTTTTTCACAGCAAAGCACTCCAGTCGACTTACTTCTGTCGCTGAAAAAAGGCAGACTTCTCAAACTGTCTAGCTCTTCAGTAAGATTTTTTTTTCAAATAAATGCCAGACACTCCTGTAATTAAAAAAATTTACCCTAAGAAAATCAAGTTCAGTATTTTCTTTTCTACAAAAAGTCGGAAATAACATTCCAGGTTACATCCTCTCCCTGTCTCCAAACTGCCGGTGGAGATCAATTTTTTTTCCAAGTACATTTCAAAGCACAAAAGAAATAATTATATTTTAATAGCATTTCAGTGGTTCCAAGTTGTTGGGGTCCAGCTAAAGGCACAGCGGCAATTTTGGGGTATCAGGAAGCCTGAAGGTACCATATATAATTTGTTATTTAAAGATTTTTTTTGTTATTTTGCCCCACATTATTCTTAATAATAAAAAAAACCCTTTTTCTTTCTTTTATGAGTAAACTAGGCTGCAATACTATATCACTGCTAATTAGCCAAAGGCTTAATTTATGTGGATTCATGAATTTTAGATCTTGATGTCAACAAGTGTTGTTGTTTTATTTTGATTTTAAATGAATTTTAAAGATGATTCTTCAGACTCAGCTGGAATGTGTTAAATGGAAATTCTTTTTTTTTAGGAGTACTTTTTTTTTTTTTTTAGGAGTCTTCTGTCCCCGCACCTGGCTGTTCCTTGCCGGAGCCCCTTGGAGGGGAGCGGGTTGAGCTTTCCTCCCCGCCCCGACCAGGGCTCCGGCAGCCGAAGACCTCCAGGATCAGCCACCACCATGCTGAGACCACTCTCCGCACACATGAAGGTGCTGGCAGAGGGACAAAGCCACGCGGGTTCTGGGGCCGAGATCTCCAAGCCTACTCGGATTGGAGTCAAGCATCCCCCACCCAGATCATCCAAATTCCAGTAGGCGGGGTCACACCCACCACCTGGCCCCCTGGCGCCGTGTAATCCCATCAACGGCCAAGACTCAGAGACTATAAAATCCAGCTCCTGGAACCGCGCGGCCGCAAATGTGGCCGCGTGACATCTTATCAGGACATCTTTTTATGACATCTTATTATCTCATTCCTACTTTTGACAAACTTGCAGGCTATCGAATGTAGCCTGCCCACAGGGCAGAGTCTGGCAAACTCCCTGTGGCGTACCAAATATGCCAAATACCAGTAACAATGATGGGTCTCATTCTCCTAAAAGAGCCCTGAATATAATCTCAGGGCTAGGATGAAAGAGACGTTACTGGGGCCTGCTCGAGGAAATCGACGAATAACTTTTATTTAGTCATTGATTAAGCTGGTTGAATTGGGCATGAACTCCACATTACTTTTTTTTTTTTCTTTTTGGGTCACACCTGGAAATGCACAAGGGTTACTCCTGGCTCTGCATTCAGGAATTACTCTTGGCGGTGCTGGGGGACCGTATGGGATGCTGGGAATTGAACCTGGGTTGGCCGCCTGCAAGGCAAACACCCTACCTGCTGTGCTATCGCTCCAGCCCCTCCACATTACTTTTTAATTTTTTAAATTTGATATCTATGAGATAGACCATTACAAAGCTATTCATAATTGGGTTTCAGTCATACAATGATCTAGTACTCATCCCTCCACCAGTGTACATTTCCCACCTCCAATATCTTCGGCTTCCCCACAACCATCCCCCAGCCCCCCACTCTCCCCCGCCCCCAGCCTCCCTCTATGGGAGGCACTTTCCTTCTTGCTTCTCTCTCCTTTTCCTTTTGTGCATTATGGTTTTCAGTACAGGGGCTAAGAGGTCATGGTGTTCATTCAGGGCATTCAGTATTTTTATCGGGATGGAAAGGCTGGAGTGGCTTTTCAATTGGTTGGCAGCTTTGTGGTGTGGATGTGACTACTAAGGCTTCCGGAAGTACAAGGAGGTGGGGGAAGGTAGCCCATTCCGACCCCGAGAAAGCCTGGAGATTTCAGTCACAAACCCCAGAAACCAGAATTTTCAGCAGATTATATCTTGGTGAGGTCCGTCCTGAGACGGTGGAGTCAGACTGGGGGTATGATGGCAATTTTGGATTGTGGAAGCAAGTGGCTGCTGTGGGCTCTGCTTGGGTGGGACCCAGGCCAACCTACCCCACCTCTGACTTACCCCGTTCTGTTCAGCCATGAACGGGTCCAAGATGAACTGCGGCTTTTGATCTCCTTCGAGATTTATCTGTAGTTCTCTGAAATAAGGCCAATATATGAGCTTGTATAGCTGAGCCAGAGGTGGTTTGTGGGCGTGGCTTCCATATACCCAACTTTTGGCTATTTAATTTCTTGGTAAACTTGGTCCCAAGTTGTTGGGGTCCAGCTAAAGGCACAGCGACAATTTTGGGGTATCAGGAAGCCTGAAGGCACCATCAGACTCTGATGCACTCATCCTGCAGGTACAGGCTGACCTGCTGACAGCACCATACCGCCAGTAGATAGAAATTCTTGTCCAGGTTACCTTCCCTAGGCTTTTGTTATTTTTATCTACTGTTCATTTAAGTTATTTATGAGCTTATTCATATTCATAGTCATGAGCCTATTTATATTTTCTTTAAAAATTCTTTTCTGTGGGCCAGAGTGATAGTACAGCTTGCAGGGTGCTTATTTTGCATGTGGCTGACCCAGGTTCAATCCCTGGTACCTCATATGGTCCCCCAAACCTGGTGGGGGATGCACACAGCAAGGAGTTAACCCTGAGAACTGCTGGTTGTATCCTGAAAACAAAACAAAACAAAATGTAGAAGTCTTGTTTAAATCTGTGAGGCTCTGGGCTTGATCCCATGCTCTGCTAGTACATACATGGTAATTAGTATATATATAATTCTAAGTATTTCAACCCCCTCTCCTTTCAACCCCCTACCCACCAAATGGCTAGTTATTTCTATTTCCTTTTTTCAGGTTCCACCAGGATATTTAGTCTTGATGAAACTAATGAGAATACATATTAATGTAAAGCAAAAGTAAAATCTGGCTGTCCATATGCACTATGGACATGATGATGTTTTCCAAAGAACGATATTACAATACTTAAAATAATATTAAGGAATCATATTTATTCTAATTATTTTCTTTCTTTCTTTCTTTCTTTCTCCTGTTCTTCCTGCCTTTCTGCCCCTTCCTTCCTTCCTTCCTTCCTTCCTTCCTTCCTTCCTTCTTTCCTTCCTTCCTTCTCTCTCTCTTTCCTTCCTCTCATCTCTCTCTTTCCTTCTCTCTCCCTTCCTTCCTTCCTTCCTTCCTTCCTTCCTTCCTTCCTTCCTTCCTTCTCCTTCCTTCCTTCCTTCCTTCCTTCCTTCCTTCCTTCCTTCCTTCCTTCCTTCCTCCCTTTCTTCTCTTTCCTTCCTCCCTTCTTTCTCTTTCCTTCTTTACTTCTCTTTCTTTCTTTCTTTCTTTCTTTCTTTCTTTCTTTCTTTCTTTCTTTCTTCCTTCCTTCCTCCCTCCCTCCCTCCCTCCCTCCCTCCCTCCCTCCCTTCTCTCTTTCCTTCCTCCCTTCTCTCTCTTTCCTTCTCTCTTTCTTTCCTTCTCTCTCTTTCTTTCTTTCTTTCTTTCTTTCTTTCTTTCTTTCTTTCTTTCTTTCTTTCTTTCTTTCTTCCTTTCTTTCCCAGAGATTAAAACCAGGTTGGGTGCATCCAAGACAAGTGCCTTCCTGCTATACTACTGCTCTACCTCCTCAAATTATTAACTGAGGGTCTAAAATTCAATTTCCGTGTACACCAGGATAGAAAACAGATAGTCCTAGAAACACAGTCTCTAGATGGGCAGAATCTACTATCATGTCCCCACAAGCATGTGCTTCCATTTACTCTTTCCAGCAGTCCACCAAGAAAAGCCTTATCTGTGAGTTTCTTTGTTTTGTTTTCCCTAGCCCAGGTCCCTTTTTGAAGACATCTAAGTTTATCTGACCTAACTTTTGCAATTTAATAACCCCGTGCAGACCTGATGGAGGCATTAGCATGAAAAATGAAGTGTGTGCCTCACTTACATTTCCCCAGAATCCTTGATGCCATCAAGCAGCCGAGCGCTGTGGAACACTGGGCTCCCTCTCTGGCTGCTGCTAACATTATCTTCATTTCTGCAACCATCCTAGGACTTGCTCCATGCCGTCGAGGCGAAGGAAAGCCTGGAAAGGGAAGCAAAAGGCCTCCAGGAAAGACTGCTCACCAGCCAGAGGCTCTGGGAAGCCTCGAAGCAGGAGCTGAGCCTGCTGAAGGACCGTTCCTGCGAGCTGGAGAAGAGCTTGCAGGCCAGCGTGGATGCGGCCAGCGTGTTCCAGAGCCAGTACTCATCCTTCCGGGAGAAGGTCGCTGCCCTTCTGCAGGGGAGCTCCGGCAGGGTCGGTGCCACGGAAGATGCCATTCTGGAGAAGATTCAAGAAATGCATCTGCAGGATGAGAGCAGCAGAAGGGTAAGTGGGAGGGACGCCGTCGGTGAGTGAGTTTTGCAGATGTGGTTACGGAGCATTCCTCACCAACGATCTGTCAGAGTTAGTTCAAGGTCTCACTAGAATGTGGGTTATTTAGCACTGTCCTCCTGTTGTTTGTTGTTTGTCAATTTGTTCGAGCGGGCCCCAGTAATGTCTCCATTGTGAGACTTGTTACTGTTTTTGGCATATCAAATAAGCTGCGGGTAGCTTGCTAGGCTTTGCCGTGAGGGAAAGATACTCTTGGTAGCTTGCCAGGCTGTCTGAGAGGTGTGGAGGAATCGAACCCAGGTCAGCTGCATGCAAGGCAAACGCCCTAACCTGCTGTGCTATAAAGAAATTAACCTGCACATTTTAGCATGCTCAGAAGGCTCAGAGCGTCAGTCCACAGCAACGTGGGTTCTGGGGTGGGACCTGCCTGGATTGAACCTGCTCTTGTGACATTCTCACCCAGTCCACAGGGGCCCTGTGATTCGTCTCTGAGCTCTTGCCTCCAAACTGTGTTTCTCCACTGGTCAGCCAAGCACGGGCCTGGCTCTACACCCTTTATTTGAAACTCTTTTGCTTCATGGATTTTTTTTTTAATTCAGAAGTTTTCTGGGAGGGCCAGAGTGATAGTCCAGTGGGCAGGGCACTTGCCTTGCACGTGGTCAACATAAGCTGGGTCTCTGGTATCTCATCAAGGTCCCCTGGGTCCCATCAGGAGTGATCCCTGAGCACAGAGCCAGGCATAACCCCTGAGCATCGGTGGGTGTGACCTGAAACAAAACAAAACAAAAAAGATTTCCCAGAACTTAGGAAGGTAAAATGAGTATACAGAAAGGTCATCATTGTGTCATCATTGTCATCCTGTTGTTCATCGATTTACTTGAGCGAGCACCAGTAACATCTCTATTTTTCCCAGTCCTGAGATTTTAGCAGGCTCTCCTTACTTGTCTTTCTCAATGATTGGAGGCTCTTTCAGGGTCAGGGGAATGAGACCTGTTATAGTTAATGGTTTTGGCTTATCAAATATGCCACGGGGAGCTTGCCATGCTCTGCCCGTGTGGGCAGGATACTCTCGGTAGCTTGCTGGGCTCTCTGATATATATATATATATATATATATATATATATATATATATATATCACTGTCACTGTCACTGTCACTGTCCTCCTGTTGTTCATCGATTTTCTCGAGCGGGCCCAGTAACGTCTCCATCGTGAGACTTGTTACTGTGTTTGGCATATCGAATACGTCACAGGTAGCTTGCCAGGCTTTGCCGTGTGGGTGAGATACTCTCGGTAGCTTGCCAGGCTCTCCGAGGAATCGAACTCGGGTCGGCCATGTTGGCTGCTTGCAAGGCAAATGCCCTACCCACTGTGCTATCGCTCCAGCCCATATATATATATATATATATATATATATATATATATATATGTATATGTATATTTATATATTTCTCTATATGATTTGTTTCCTACTGTCTGAACTCCATCAAACACGGTGTGGTAGCACTGCACTGTCCCCCCATTGTTCATCGATTTGCTCGAGTGGGCACCAGTAATGTCTCACAACAAATTATGAGACTTTTTGTTCTTGTTTTTGGCATATTGAATACATCACGGGTAGCTTGCCAGGCTCTGCCCTGCAGGTGAGAATACTCTTGGTAGCTTGCCAGGCTCTCTAAGCGGGGCAGAGGAATCGAATCCGGGTTGGTCACATGCAAGGCAAACGCCTAGGAAGTGTCTTATGATGTGTCATGCAGTCTGGAAAGTGGCCTGGACCATGGCGGTGGTTGGGTAGTGGAGGTTGGCTGCCGGGGCTGGGTCCCTTGGGGCGGGGAGGGCTCCCACTGAGCCCCCTCTGGAGTGCCTGGAGTGAAAAAAGCCCGGTGCGGAATCCCAGAAAGGTAATACACGTAAAAACTTGACACGTATCTCCAAGGACGGTCCTCGCCAGCACCCCATCATCTACCCTGTATGTCATCCTTCAGCAAAAGCCACTCAATACCTCATCATATGTGAGATGCCAAGGTTTTGGTCAATCTCAGTGTCACTTCAGGTCAGAGCTAGCTGGCAAAGCTGATTAGGTCGTGCCTAGTCAGCAAATGAGTTACGCAAAAACGATGGTTTTCCAAATCCTTTTGGATTTTGGAATTGCAGATAAGGGTTCTAGACCTGCCACGTATCTGCCTCAAAAGAGCTTTGTTTATTGTAAGCATTGATTGGAAACAATCGCTATGGAAGCTGTAACACATTGTTTAGCAAATATCAGTGTCTGTTAGTTATCACTGTGCTGGCTGGTCCCCTCTCTCCTCCTCCAGCCTACTTGCCTTTTTAAAATTAAATTAAAATCTTTTTCATTGAATCACCATGATATGCACAGTTCTAAAGTTGTCCTTGATTAGGTTTCAGTCATGCAGTGGTCCAACACCCATCTCTTCACCAGTTTACAGTTCCCACCACCAATGTCCCCAATTTCCTTTCTGCTTCCCCTCAACCTACCTCTATGACACCTTTCTTCTCTCTTTCTCTTTCCTGTTAGGCACTGTGGTGTGTAATACTATTGCTGACAGGTTATTACCTATCTTACTTTACCCGCTTTCAGCACTCTATCCAGAGTGATCATTTCCGACTATCATCGTCATAGTGATCCCATCTCTGTCCTAACTGCACTTACCCTCCTGCTTTGTGACAAGCTTTCTACCATAGACTGATCCTCTTGGCCCTTGTTTCTACTATCTTTAGCTATTATTCTCATACTATGTTTTTAATAATACGTTGGGTCTAGATGGGTTATTTTTTTATGATTAAAAGTTATTGAATATATGCTGAAAGTTTCCAAAACATTTTTTTATTAAACAAGGATCTTTTATTGATTTATTGATTTTATCAAGATTTACAAAACTAATAATTATATAGTACAAGTATACAATGCTCCACCTCCAAATCCACCACTGGTATCAACAACACCTGTGTTCCAAGCTCCCTTCATTCTTTTTTTTCCTTTTTTATTGAGTCACTATGAGATAGAACACTACAAAATTGCTCACGATTGTGTTTCAGTCATGCAATGTTCCAACACCCATCCCTCCACCAGTGTAATTTCCCAGCACCAGTGTCCCCAGTTTCCCTCCCGCCCCTTCAAGTCTAGATAGGTCTTATAGGAACCCATTTAAAGAATGGACAGGAATAGTTTTTCTTTTGTTTTGTTTTGTTTTTTTACTGGGTCATACCCAGCGATGCACAGGGCTTATTCCTGGCTTAGCACTCAGGAATTACTCCTGGCAGTGCTCAGAATCGAACCTGGGTCAGCCGCGTGCAAGGCAAACACCCTACCAGCTGTGCTATCACTCCAACCAAAACAGGAATGGTTTTAACTCTCATCTAGGATAGAATCTTGTTTAGTTTTGTGATCTTGCTTATACGCTTAGCGATTCTCCCAGTTCCATCAAGTTGTGTTTAGCAGAGCTAACTTCAGCCTAGATCCTATTGGCAGATAACAAATGATGAAATGTGGATCAATGAAGGTTTAAATTAAATGACATCCAAATGCATTTGGATAATGTATGATTCCACTCGGAATGATTTCCTCTAGTGAGTTTATGCTTGTTCAAAAGCAGAGATCTTTCTATCTATTGATGTTTCGAAAAATGCCTCAGATCGATTGAGTTCAGGGTTGGGTTTCACCTAGCAATCAAAAATTTAACCAAGTTTTCTTTGCAAGTTCTTCAAAATAAATGCTTGCCTTCGAAGTGACCCAAGTGGTACTTTAGTTCAAATGTCAATTTCTTTCTCTTTGTGGATATAAACATGTGATATTTGAGTATAACTCAGATTTTCTTGTGATTCAGTGGACTGGGACAAAAATGATCTACAGGATAGAGAAAAATTTTGTTAAATTATTAACCTTGACTAGTAACAAATGTACTTCAATAGCTGCCATTTCATTTTATTTCTTTCCCCGTCTGTTTTTCCAAATGTTTTCCAAAAAAACTATTTTAATTCCAGCCTGTGAAACACAGCATAAAATTGTCAGCATGATGTATATGTTTATTTTCGAAAGCAAAATGATGCAAATTGGTTAAGCTGGGTATGCTGTCCCCCACTCCCCATAAAAATGAGAATGATTCAGAGTCATTTTAGCCCCTTTGTCTGCCTTTCCTACCCTGTAATTTTTTTCAATAGCTGCTCTCACTATTTAAAAGCCCGAAATCAAGCATATAGCTGGCATCTCTTATGACTCATCTTCAAGTGAAATCAGGAGAAAATGGATTTCATATATTGTCTTAGAAATGTTTTTGAAGAACAGGAGCTTTATAAATTATCTATTTGTTGAGGAGACAACATTCCTTGTCACCTGCCACAGTTAGAAACACAGTCAGCGGCTGAGGAAGAGCCTTGTAAAGTCTCAGTGGTGGGGTTAGCTTTGGTCTAACCCAAAATTCGCCTCTTCACGTCAACTCCTATTACAGAACTTAGAATTACCTACTTAGGTAATTCTCTCCCAAATAGGGAATTCTCAGAAGAAATCAGGGTAGCATCTAGACTTTTTCAAGTCTAGAAAATTCCAGAAAAGTCAAAAAAAATTCTACTCATTCCTTGCTTTTCTGCTCAGAGCAAAATTTAATTCCCCCCACCCCCCAAAAAAAGATTTTTGTAGCTTAGGGAAGATTTCTCAGTCTGAGCATTACTAATATTTTGGACCAGGGAATTCATGGTTGTGGGAGATAGTCTATTAGTAGGATGCTTAATGTTTATTGTACCCGTTAGATCTCACCCCACCCCACTTTTACTAATTTCTTCAGACATTGCAAAATATCCTCTATGGAAAAAAATCACCCCCTGTTTAAACCAATGTATTAGAGGAATGTTTTGTGATCAAATTTCCAGGAATTACAAATGAGCATTTATTTAGATGTTATTTAGCCTTGAAACTTCAGGACAGTTGTGACAGGTGTTTTGGAAATGATTTATTGCATAATGAGAAAAAGTTGCAACACC